ATCTGGAAACAGAAGACACTTAATTAAACTTAGAAGCAGTCCGAAAAGCAAGTAACAGAGGTTTGACTTTAAAGCTCCACCCTAAAACAACTTCTTGTCATAGTGCAAACTCAGAACAAGACTTCCAAGCTTCAATGCCTACAGACTGGAACAGATATACAGTGAGACTTTGACAAGTACCCACACATAATTCACATCTATTTTTTTTTTAAAGTAGGAAGTCCCACTAATGGCGTGCTGCATCTTTAACACTGAAGGCCTTTAAACATCAAAGAAAGCAAAATGAGGTTACAATGGACGTCACCTTACCTTCTCTCCATTCTCTATCAGCATCCGATCCCAGGCATTAACTTGTGTAGCTTGATGGAGAAAGTGTTTCTCCTGGTCTTCCAGTTCTAGACTCCACTTGTTTATCAAACTCTCCAGCTGGGCATAAGTCATCACTGGAGGCCCACTGAGAGGAAGTGTGAGACAGTACAGAACACAAGATCAAAAACCAAAGTATCCACCTGACAACACTCATTCCCCCTTCCTCCACCACATACTCTTGCCCCAGTCAGGAAATAGTCAGTTATAACAAAACACTCACCTGGGGGCTGTTGTGGTGAGGGCAGCGGTAGAAGTCACAGCTCCAATGGCACCAGCTGTAGTTAATGGCTTAAGGTTCAAAGCAAAGCCAGGAGCAGAAGTAGTGCCTGAAGCAAGAGGTTCAAGTCAAGCAACAGAAGAGGACACACCTGCTATCTAACAAATCAAGAAAAGGTCCAATAAACACTTCGAAGCACAGTGCTGTATGGGCTCAAATAGGTCCCTTTGAAGGGACAAAATGCAAATCCCACATCTGTCAAGATGGGAATGAAGCACATCTTGACACAAAAATAGTGGACTGTAAATGCCCTACTATCAGTTCTAGTAAAATGAAAAAATGGCACCCCACACTTAACCTGCACCATTCAGAGAAACACAGCATTAAAATGTGGGCTTAAGAGTGTGCTTAATGCTCTCTTGGCTTCAGTCTTCAATAGTCAGACCAGTTATCCTCGGGGTACTCAACTCCCTGAGCTCTCAGGCAGGGACAAAGAGCAGAATAACATTCCCACAATCCAGGAGGAAGCAGTTAATGACCTGCTATGCCACCTGGACACAATCTATGGGGCCAGATGGGATCCACCTGAGAGTACTGAGGGAGCTGGCAGGGGAACTTGCCAAGCCACTCTCCATCATCTATTAACAGTCCTGGCTAACAGGGGAGGTCCCAGAAGACTGTAAGCTTGCCAATGCGATGCCCATCAACAAGAAATGCCCCAAGGAGGACCTGGGGAACCACAGGACTGTCAGCCTGACCTCAATACCAGTAAAGATTATGGAACAGCTCATCTTGAGTGTGCTCACACAGCATGGACAGGACAACCAGGGGATCAAGCCCAGCCAGCATGGGTTCATGAAAGGAAGGTCGTGATTGAACAACCTAATCTCCTTCTATGGCCAGGTGACCCATGTAGTGGATGAGGGAA